TAGCAGCAGTAGCAGAGGCAGCAGCTGTAGCAGCTGTGCCACTTGCAGCAGCAGCAGCAGCAACGCCTGCTTGCAGGCCAGCCTGGGCTGGTCCTTGGACTTGCTGCTGCTGCTGTTGCTCCTGCTGCGGCAGCTGCTTCGGTTGCTGTGGCTGCTGTTGTTGCTGCTGGTGGGGTTGCTGGTGGTGCTGTTGCTGCTGCTGCAATTTCTGTTGTTGCTGCTGTTGGTGGTGCAGTTGCTGCTGTTTCTGCTGTTGCTGCTGCTGTTGCTGCTGTTGCTGCTGCTGTTGCTGCTGTTGCTGCTGCTGTTGCTGCTGGTGCTGTTGCTGTTGCTGCTGCTGTTGCTGATGTTGCTGTTGCTGTTGCTGTTGCTGTTGGTGCTGCTGTTGCTGATGTTGCTGTTGCTGTTGCTGTTGCTGCTGCTGAGAATGCTGCAGGTTCTGATGTTTCCCTCCTGCTGATATATTACCGCTAGCAGCAGCAGAAGCAGCAGCAGCTACGCCCCCACCAGTAACCACCTTATCCTTCCCTGCCCCTGCCCCACTTGCACCCGTTCCCAAACCGTGTGGGAGGCTCGGAGAAGCTCCAGGCGCCAAACCTGCTGCACCGGGCGCGGATGCAGCTGCCGATGCTGGCGCCGTCGAAGTTGCAGCTGCCGAAGCTACAGCAGCGGTAGCGGCAGCGGCAGCAGCAGCGGCAGCAGAGACTGTTGGGGGGGCTGAGAGAGGAACAGGGAGAGCGGAAGGCAGGGGAGCTTGAGCCACACCTGTACCTGCTGCCCCGCCTGCCGCCCCTGCTGCTGCAGCCGCTGCCGCTGCCGCTGCACCTGCCGCTGCTGCTGCACTTGCTGCTCCGCCTGCTGCCCCACCTGCTTGCAAGCCAAAGGGAGGCGCACCAGGAATATGCCCCGGCATGGCCATCCCATACGGAGGCTGCTGCTTTGAAGCTGCTACCGCTGCTGCTGCCGCCGCCGCTGCCGCCGCTGCATAGTTGCTGAAATGCGGGGGGTAGAACGGGTGGTGGTGATGCTGCTGCTGCTGTTGCTGCTGCTGCTGTTGTTGCTGCTGCTGCTGTTGCTGTTGCTGCTGCTGTTGACGTGCTACATGCCGGTTGAGCTCAATAAAGTGGGCGATGTAAACGTGCAGAGCACAACGTTTCCAAGGCCGCCGCCCGTGCAGCTGCTGCTGCTGCTGCTGCGAAGGCAGAGGGAGTAAGCCTGGGGGCGGTTGAGGGAGAGTGTGCTGCGACGGCTGGAGGGCGAGAGGGGCGAGAAGCGGGGCGGGGGATGGGTGTGGGGGAGAGAGGGGGTGTAGGGGGTGGGGGAAGAGTGGGGGGAGGGGGAGTATGAGCGGGGCCAGCAAGGGAGAAAGGGCATGATGCAGCAGCGATGTGATGATGCCGAGTGTGTCTCAGCGGCTGAAGTGTGACTCACAACTGGGAAAGGAAATCACCACTCACAGACAGCTAATCGCCACCTGCGAGGGAAAGCAGCCAACTTACGTGACCAGGAGTGGCGCTCACAGCAGCATGGCTGCAGGGGACAAGACCCCATCGTCCCTCCCTGCATGTGCCAGTGACGCCACTCCAGCATGCTGGAGTACTGACAGTGCAACTCTAAACCCAAACCCTGAACCCTGAACCCCAACCCTAATTTTGAACCCTTGTTCGACTCACAACTGGGAAGGGAGCCACAGTGACTTACATGGCCAGGAGGAGCAGGTGAGGAGACCCCATCGTCCCTCCCTGCATGTGCCAGTGACGCCACTCCAGCATGCTGGAGCAGTGACGGCCCTGTATGCGACAGGGAGGCAGGGAGGGAAGAGGGGAGAGACGAGGGAAGCGAGGAGGGGAGAGACGAGGCAAGAGAGGAGGGGAGAGAGGAGGGAAGCGAGGAGGGGCCTCCAGCAGAGGGAGGGGGCCACCCAGCAGCAGCTGCAGCCGCTGCTGCCGCAGCTGCAGCCTGAGGGAAAAACCCAATCCCAGGAATCGGCCACCCTCCCAACCCTAACGGCAAAGGCATAGACGCAGCAGCTGCCGCTGCTGCAGCCGCTGCGGCTGCTGCTGCTGCTGCTGCTCCGTGAGTAGGTGCCCCGGATGGGGGCATCCCAGGGGGATTGTGGGGCATGCCGGGGGGAGTGTGGTGCATGGGGGCAAGGTGGGCGGGCGGAGGGGGGAAGCCTGCGGGCATTATGGGCACTGGGGGGGCTCCTGCGCGGGAGGGCGCCCCTGGGGGATGCTGGATAGCTGGTGCTGCCCCTAATGCTCCCCCCCCCCCTCCTCCTGTTCCTGCTCCTCCTGCTGCGGCTGCAGCAGCAGCTGCTGCTGCTGCTGCTTCAGGAGCAGACAGGTTCAAAGCCGCTCCTGCTGCTCCAACCACCGTGCTTCCTGCTGCCGCTCCTGCCACTCCTAAACCCGCACCTCCCAACCCTACGGCTCCTGGGGACATAGGCCCCACCACAGGAGACGAACCAGCAGCTCGATCCCTGGACGCACCCTTAGCGTCTCCTTTCGCCCCCCTCGCTGTCGCCCCTCTTTGACTGCCAGATCTCTGCAGCAGCACCCCCTCCTTCCTCTCCTCCTTCCCATCTTCCATCCTACTCTGCACCTCCTGCTCCCTCCCTCCTCTCCCCCTCTCCCTCCCCTTCTCCGCCCTCCCCTTGTCCTTCTCCTCCTTCTCCCTCCCCTTACCCCGCCCCGCCTCCTTCCGCCCATCCCTTTCCCTTGTCTCCTTCTCCTTCTCCCTGCCTCTCTCTGCCTCGGCATTCAGCAGCATCAGATCAAACCCCTTTCTGGATCCAACGGCCTCCTCGCCTTTATTCAAGGAAGGAGTTTTTCTAAGCCTAGCTTCCATATTAAGATCCCCCTCCGCTCTCCCTCCCACCCCTTCCTTGGGAGTTTCGCCTCCTAACCCTACTCCTAATCCGCCTCCTCGTCCTCCTATTCCTCCTGCCAATCCCCCTCCCATGTGCTTGTGTGCAACGCCTGCTGCTGGTGGTGGCTGTAGGGATCAGACGGGGAAAAGGAGAATAAAAACAGCGGGGGAAGAGAGGGATGAGACGGGGAAGAGAAGGATAAAATGGCACATGATGGGGGAAAAAAACAAAACAAAAACCAAACAGAAGAGAAAGATGAAAAGACCGGAGGAGGATGAGAAGGACTCGCCATACGGCACTGTAAGTCGACTCATCACACACCGACTCATCACACGCGGACGGGGAGGATGAGAAGGACTCTCCATACGGCACTGTAAATCGCACACTCCCTCAAGCCTGCCCACCATACACCACAGACCATACACACCACCATGCCACCACACCACACCACACCACATCATACCGCACCATACCACACTGCAACACACACTCACCATGCCACGTTGCACATGCGTCTTGCTCTCCCCTTCCGCTGTCTCCTCCTCGTCCACCGCTCCCAACCGCTCTGAACTCGGAACCAGCAGCGAAAGACCGTTGCCGGGTGGGGACTGTTTGGTAGGGGGAGAGCGGGGTGGGGGACAAGGGGGGCGAGAAGGGGGAGCAGGGTAAGGAGGGAAAGGGATTAGCGGATTTGGGAAAAAGGAAAGAAGAAAAGAAAGAAAAAAAAACACACACACACACACAAACACCTAGTAAGTTGTACAAGGCAGTTGGTCAACCGATTTGGAAACAAAAACCTGGTAAGTTGTGGGCAAGAGATGGAAAGCCACTACACCACACACGCACGTACCATGAGATCAAGCTCAAGCTTGTTAGAGCACAGTGACTGCTGCTGCTGCGGCGGCCACTGGTCCTTGCTGTCTGTAGTGGTGGCCGTGGCTGACGGTGGTCCCATTCGCAGCCTGTGGGGAGGGGCAGGGGCGGTAGGAGCGGGAGAGGGGAAGGGGAGGGGACGAGGGGACATAAGGTGAAGAGGGGTGACTGCTGCAGCTGCGGCGGCCACTTGTCCTTGCTGTCTGTAGTGGCAGGCATGGCTGATGGCAGCCCCATGCGCAGCCTGTATTGAAACACATAAGTGCAAAGAGCAGCACAAAAGTTTGAAGAGAAACACAGGAATGCTCTTTGAGTAGCATGTTCTCACCTCGTCTGCTGGTCCACTCCCCCCTCTCCTCCCGCGCCCACCACTCCACCAGGGCCCTTAGCCTCTCCCGCCCCCTTCCCCCCCTTCTCCGCTCCCTGCCCCCCTGGTGCCAGCGGTGCACCAGTGAGCGGGGAAGCAAACAGCCGCGGGGGGGGAGTGGAGGCAGCATGGGGAGTGGAGGCAGCATGGGCAACGGCGGTGGCGTGAGCATGGGAAGAAGCGAGCCCATGGGAATTCGGGGCAAAGGATGGGTTTCCACCAGCGAGAGGAGAATAGGAGGGGACAGAGTTGTGAAAGGCCGGAACCCCACCCCCTGCTGCTGCTGCTGCTGCTCCTGCGGGTAGCAAGGGACTTGCAGTAGCTCCTGCAGCAGTGGCGTTAGCAGGAGCAGCAGCAGAAGGAGCAGGAGAAGCAGATGCAGCACCAGGAGGACCAGGAGCCCCAGCGGCCAGAGGAGTGCCCCGGGCAACAGAAGAGGCAGCCCTAGCAGCAGCCAACACACTCGACAGGTTCTGCGATGCCGAACCAGGGGGGGTTGCCGCGGCGCCAGCCGTCCCTGCCGCCGAGCCTGGCGAGCCGGCCACCGGACCTGGCACGGCGGTGGCTCGGAGGAGCGCCGAAGGTGATGTGACAGGGCGGGCTGCGCTAGCATGTGCGCCACCTCGTGCTGAGCTGGCAGCACCGAGAAGATTTTCTAAAGTTAGATGCCTACCCGTTTGCCGTTGGTCCTTCACTGCCCCTACCACCCCTGTTCCAACTACACCTCCTGCTGCTGCTCCTCCTCCTGCTCCTGCTCCTGTATCCGCACCACCACCACCAGCACCCGCAGCTGCCCCAGGGGTACCAGGACCGGAACCAGGACCGGCACCTGCAGCAGCTGCTGCAGCGTTCAAAGTGGGAACAGGAAGCAGCATCCGATTCTGGCCC